GAAAGCTAATTGGTTTTTTTCCATCATTTGCTAGCACTCTATAAATTTTTTGCTTCCAGTCACTTATTTTGCATCTTGGTTCAGGTTACCTATCAGTGTTTTCATTGGAAGAAGGGGACACCTTTTGCTGATGATCAAGGCATCTACAATGGGTTGACTTGGTGGGAGCAGATTGACAATGGCAAGCAGCTGACTCGTAACAGAAAGTTTCTGACTGTTGTACCAGTTGTTCTGTAAGTTTTACCATGAAGGCTTTCTGTTTTGAGTACAAAAAAATCAAAGCATCAAACATGGTTATAGATCTTGTGATAACTGTTAGCCCCAGAATGAACATGGGGCATTCTTGTTCATTTGGCTAAAGTCATAAACATACCTGTATTATTTCATTCTTTTAGTTTTTTTTTTAAATATTTCATTCTTTTAGTCCGGATAACTTCTTGGTTTGGTTGACCTTTGTGTAGTTTGACGTTCCGGGCTTCTTATGTCGACAGTTAGTAATGGGTTTATCTGCTCCCTGCAAGTCATTTTCTTGCTTCAGTCAGGGAAAATAGGAGATTATTTTTAGGGGTTCGGGTCACTGCAGAGATTTTGTCAAGCATTGCAAATAAAACCCTGAAAGTCTTTTAATCTGTGTCTTCCAAAGTAAATTTTATTTGTTTGCATATACTTCCTGCATGCTTGCGTGGTGTTTTTTACAATCCTTTCTTTTTGGATCCTTTTGGGAGGCTGTTCAGTGGGGAAGGGAGGATAGACAAGAATTGTTGAATGCAGAACATTTTCGATTCTACTGGGGAAATGCCATGCATTTTAGCCATGTATGCCCAACATTCTCTTGATAGGTGCAGTTCCTGATTAAATGAAACCAATTAGGTTTTGTATAGTTCTGGGTTTCATCTGTTTCCTTTGATTTTCAACTATCCCATAATTCTTACCAGTATTCTGAATAACTGCAACATGATTTTAGTCTGACATGGGCACTTCTCCTGCACTTGTCTTTCCAAAGGGGGTTTGTCGCATGGCCAAGCCTCATATTTTTTCTTGAAATATATTAGAATTTAAATATTCAACCCCAGTAATGCAGTGATAGGAAAAGGTGTAGTAGATTGGATAACCACTTGTACTTTTGTGCTTACTGGCTTCACTTTCTCAAGCAAGTAGCATGCAATTGTGTTTTATATTTCCAGTTGTAGACAACTGCACCCGGTTTGAGAACCTGCCTGGTTACTAAATTCTTGACATTAAAATTAAGTAATGGAGATGTACATAAAAGATACTATAGATAATTACTGAGTATGCTGGTTAAGATTTATTTTTAACGCTCAAAATCTAGAAAATACCTGCAATGCTGGTATAATATTTTATGATATATTCTCCCATTAGTTGATAAAAATTTTTACTCATTTGTGTTTAAAATGGGAAATAAATTTCGGGGATGATCAATGATATTGGATGTATTTTCCTTTCCAGAATTGGGCTTGAATAAGTCCCTTGTTATTTTCATTCAACCTAATTGCAAAAAATTTTGTTCATAGCAGAAATTGATTATATATGGAAACGTAGCATTAAGATTAGACTTGGCTTTTATTTATTTATTTTGCTTTGGTGTCAGATTAGGCATAGCCTAACAAAGATGAGTTTGAATGCTACTTGTGGCAAAGCAGTTTTCTTGTTCTTATTGCCATTATTATGTCTTTGACATAATGACTTCTTCTAATTAGTAGACAAGTGTCTCCCTCCCTACATGCTTTTTTAAGGAATGGTGTGTGATTATTGATTGCAAAAGGTGATATATCTCTGTCGTTGGCCAACTCTTCGATATACCATGATGATTTCTTCTCTCTCTTTTTTGGGCTTTTGAGAGATGTCCACTTCTGCTGGAAAAGCAAAAGTTTTAGTTGTTTGTATATTGTCCATCTTCTTTAGAGATGTAATTGATTTCTCTTAAGACTCATCATTATGTGAGGTTTGAATTTCTGGATGTAACAAAGCAATAAAGTTAAGATTAGTAGGAGAAAAAGTTTCAAAAACATTTTGTGAGTGGTTGGATACTGTACTCGCAGGCATTTTGACTGTTGTTTACTTGGCAGGTACTTGATCGCATCACACACAACAGACTATGAGAACCCAATGCTCTTTTTGAACACTTTGGCAGTTTTTATACTGGTGGTTGCGAAGTTCCCACACATGCACAAGGTCCGAATATTTGGAATCAATGCTGATCACTAAACTGCCAAGGAAGCTGAGTTTGGCTTAATCTAGTTCCTAGGGTTGATTGATAATTTTGGCATTTGTTATGCCCCTGTACAGAATAATTAAACTGGAAAGGGTGTTATTATATATTTTCTTTCTTTTATTAAGTGAATACAAATACCTCCCTTTGTTGCATAGAGGGAAAAATGTGCATTTTGTTTTCAATTTCCATTGGTTATCAACGTTGCTGGCTTTTGTTTATTAATATCTTTTTCAATGAGAAGGTAGAAGAACCTTTTGTAAGTGCTTGTGATATTTAACCATTTGTAAGTGGCATTTAACCAATTTGATGGGTTTGGGCTCGAATCTGATTTGCTCTCTTATCTATTTGTAAATGCCGTTACTTTCTCATTCCATCATCTATTGAATACATTTCATGATATAATTTCTGGGTTTTGATGCTTGTTCAAGAAAGGATTTTGTGGCGTGTTAGGAGCCCAAAACATAAACAAGAATCACAATTTAAAGAAGGAAGAGAAAAAAGCATGTGTTAGTGATGGGGAAGGTGGGGTTTTGACATGTAGTAGATTGGAATAATGAGGTTGAATGTAAACAGTGGGATGCAGAGCGTTTGTCGGCATTCGGTCACTTGTGCTTGAAGCTTTCACTTCTCTCTCTTTCAATCCCTTCTCTTTCACGTCATTTCAAACTCATTTATTTCAGATCTGTTTATTTGTTACATTCCCGTTTCTAATCAAATTGATTTTGAATTCGATGGTCAAAGGAACGAAGAAATAAGATTGATTCAATTTGTGGGCAGCAAAAATCAAACAAGATTATTCTCTTCAATCTAATTCTTATAAATTAGGAAGGTAAAGAAAATTAATAATAAATAATATTGTTGGCAGTCATGATGCAGAGCTAGTGGGTTACAGCAAAACAAGGAGAAGAAAATCAAGATCATCTTAGTGCGGTGTATTATTCTTCAACACACTTGCCTAGGGGAATGTTTGTGGGTCCCTTTCAAGAAGACTAAAAGAAAAGAGACTTGTGTTGGTCAGATCTTTTGATTAGAAAAAGGAAACTACAGGTGCCATGGAAGTAATCATCATCAGAAATTTTATTTTTAAAGGAATTGATTCTTGTTTATTATTATTAGCGTGTAATATGGAGGGTTCAGATCAGAGATTTCTAACCTGCCTCTCTACCAACCACTACATCCATCCATGGTCGTCTTTAATGTCTGAAACAATCTCCTTTCTACATTTGAAACTCGCATTAATCCATTAATCTCAACACACTTTATACACCTCGAACAACAATAATTAATATTGGAAGAATTAAACTATATATATATTTATAAAATATATCATGATGCATAAATTAAACATGACCTTACAAACCCTGGACATTGTACATTCTCTTTTTTTTTTTTTTTTTTTTTTTGTGCCAAGCCAACCAGTGAAATATACCATGACATGACCTTCATAATTTGTTCTTTCCTCAGAGAAGAGAAGTTACTGTGACATAGAGGACCTCTGCAACATGATCTCATCTTCTACATCTTACCTAAAAAATTTGGGCTTATAGCCTTTCATCAGCGCTCTTCTTGTTCTATCTTTCCTTGTCATCATAACTTATGAAGCCAACCTAAAATGAAGCTTCAAGCTCCCACCAAAATCAAAGAGCTAGCTACTAAAGAAGAATAACCCAAAAAAAAAAACAAGAGAAAGAGAGAAACCCATGTATCCTATCTGTTAGTAATGAAGAAATCCAAACAAGTCACCCCAGCTTAACAAATCAATAAAAGTTTTTTTAAAAAAGAGAAAAATTATCATGAAGACGTTTATAAATTAACCCAGATAATAAATTATTTATCATCTCCTTTACCATGATCCTGATCCACCTAACATTCCAGTCCAGTACCCAGCTGAATCTCCCTGCTCTCTATTTTGCCCAATCTCACCTGTACTGGACACTTGTTTCAAGTCTTCAAATGGAAATAAGAGCCTCCCATTAGTCTCTTGAAGACTCCCATACCCCGTTCCAAGACCATCTAGTGAGAAATTTAGGGTTGGCTTCAAGTCTTGTAGAGGAAACGTTAAGCCAGAGGTGTAAACGCTGGTTGGATCTGGAATTGGCATGGGCATGAAGGAATTCAACCCTCTTGTGGACATTCCAGTTAGCAGCTCCAAGGCTGAGAGCTGAGTAGTAGTAGCAGTAGAAGTAGAAGTCGTAGTAGTAGTAGAAGTAGTAGAAGATATCTGATTCTTGTTGTTGTTATTGTTGTTGTCAATGGTGGGGACTTGAACCAATTGAGAGAGAGAGGCGAAACCTTGAGGAGCTGTTGCAGGGAAAGATAAGTTGAGATCTTGGGCTTGATCATTAGGGTTTTGTAGTGGAGCAGAAATCAGATCAGAGAGTTTCTTTGAAGAAGAGATAATAGAAGAAGAAGAAGTTGATGATGACGATGATCTCTTGTTCTTTCTTGAACCACCACCAACTGGGATGTTTCTTAAAGAACCACCTTCAGTCCAATATCTTCTGCAAGTCTTGCAGAAGTATCTAGGTTGTGTTAGACTGTAATTGTTATAGTAACAGAACTTGGTATTTGTTGAGTTGCACCTTGGACAATTCAAAGCATGTTCTTTTTGAGGCCTGACTTTCCTTTCTATTGCTGCTGGTTTTGTGACTATCTCCTCTATTGGTTTCACTACAATCTCCTACAAAACATATTATATACATAAATATATATTTGTCAACAATTCAAGATTACAAAAGAAAACAGACCTTGAAAAGAAAAAAAGAGTACAAAAACTAGAAAACAAAACATAATTCAGATTGCAAATTACTTGCTTTGCACTTTTCAGGTTTATTTTAGCCAGGAATAAAGAAGAAAAAGGAGAAGAAATTTAAAAGCCTTTTTCTTTTAGAAAAGAAGAAGAAGAAGAAGAAGAAGAAGAAGAAAAGCAAAGGAGAAAGATAAAGTGCAAAACGTTGAAGAACTGATAAAAACTAAATCCAAATATGAGTGGGGACTCGAGAGACTTGCACCACTAAAGACATGAACACCACCATCTTTTGCCAAAGAAAAAAGGCACCCAATAAACAAGAATTCCTTTTGAAAAACAAAAGAAAAAAGAAAGCCAAAAGCTTCCTGAACACAAAATAACCAAAACCCAGATCTCTCTACCTGTGGCCACTGAGCAGCTGTATCCATGGATGAAACCAAACTGAAACTGAAGAAGAAAATATGATCCAAAGAAGGCTTTCCTTTTCCGTTTTTCTGGGTGGGTTTTGTGTGTATATATGTATATGTATATTCTTCTGTGAGTAGCAGCAGCAGCAGCTTTGCTTTATGGCTTGTGGGTGTTTGTGTAGGACATGTGAGAGAAAATAAAAGGTGTGAGTGAGATGAGATGAAGAGAGAGTTGGGCGTTTTAATTAAAAGAATGTAATTAAACAGCCGCATCAGTTTTTTATTCTTATGTAACACTACTAACTTCTTCACTGCGAATATTTGTCCTTCTAAAATATTCGGAAATAATTAAAATCATTACGATACATACACACACACATATATATATATATATGAGAAAACTTAGTGGGTAGGTTTTCCTTATGCGTTAATGGCGTATATCTTCTCTGACCTTAGAAGTGGACTAAATCCAGATCTTTTTTTTTTTTTAGGTAAGCAATATATTTCTCTCATGCATCTTTTGTAATATTTTGTTTGTTTTAATTAGTCCAAATTCCCTACTTTTCATTTGCTGACAAAAAGAAAATTATAATGAAACTGAATATTGGATGTGTGTGTATATATATATATATATATATATATATGTATTAATTGAATTAAAATTTTTAACTGGGTATATAGAAAATGAAATTCACTCAATCCAACTAGTTAGTTTTGCCTGCTAGTTAAGTTACAAAATATCCTAACGTAATATTCTATTTTGAGTTACTATTATACATTAGATTATTAATTATTAAACAGATTTTAATTAATTCAATAGTGTTATATATATATATTATATTATATTTTATTTCTGATTAAAATAGTTTTAAATGAATTTGTTCTCAGCTGGATAAGAAACATGTCATTCATATTAGGATTAAAATATTTACGAAACATTTATTCTAATCTCATCCAAAAAGTTAAACTCTAAACCTAACTTGCAAATCAATGTTACGTGATAATACTTTAGGGGTTGTATATACATAATTTAATTCGTGTATTGTTAGAAATTTATTATTTTCATATCCATAAATATGTAAATAAAACACAAGTAATCTTATTAGTAGAAATGAAATGGGTATTTGTGCGTAGAGCGGTAGCGTGAGTCAGTATCCACACACACACACATATATATATATATATATATGTTTTGTGGGTAGTGACTATACATTAATTAATACATTTTATATGTATATCCATTAATAAGATTTTGTCCGTCTACTATACACGCATTAATTTTGCTATGCCTTCTTAATTAACCACCATTTCCAAACAATGCAAAAAAAGGAAATTACCAGTCACTTTGCTGTATACGTTCAAATCAAATTGTTTTCATATGATCTTAAAACATAAATTCAGGTTTAAAATTTTATATATTAATTGTTATCAACAAGAACTAAATCTTATTAATCTAATTTAATTATTCTTATTTTCTCATATAAGACTAAGGATAATACTTTAAATCTGATGTTCTTTTAATGTTCTTCAATGTCAAAACACTTTATAATTAATGAAATATTTTTATCAAAGGTAAGATCTTTTTTCACTTATTGCCTTTTTATACATTCTTTTTTAGTTCATAATTTACAACTAACTAATTCTATTTTAAAATAACAATATTTTATATAGTTACAATAGTTTTTTTTTTTTTTTTACTTACATTTTCAGGGAACAACTATTTATTAACTGCCTTAAATGAGTGTTTAAGTATGTTGTAATTTAATTAAAAGTAATATGGCAAATAAGTGTAATTAATAACTGTAATTAGATTAATGATTTTGCTTATTAATTAATGTTTCTATTGATGAGAATGATTAATTTGATTTGAATTTTAAGTCCAAAATCACACGCATTTAATGGATGAAGACGTACACATTCAAATATTTTATGACTTGACTGAACCACAATTATCTCTTTAAATTGCTTTTCTTAGAACCTGCCAATATGCAGTACAAAATTAATCTCCCTTTCCCTTCTCATTTGCATTTTAATTATACAACCAAACGAGGCATAAAACTCTTTTTCCAAAAAGGAAAAAAAAAAAAAGAGAGAGATAAGATATATATAATGAATTGCTTAAGTACTTGGAGGATCTCAATGAAAGTCAATGTTATATTATTTTCTCACTTTTGATGGGTGTCTAAAAGGGTAATATTATTGGAAATTGTCAAAAGATATAAAATTATATTCAACGAATACGAAAATCTACACTAATCAATTTTATCTCATAGTTTGATCATAACACTATATGAGGAGGAATGATATTAAGGAATGTGATTTTATTATCATTATATAATTTTGGATTACCATGCAATATAAATTTTTATTATTACGAATTTAATTGGTTTAATCAGTTTAAATATTAAGAGTTTAGAATTTTTATTTTTAATTTTAATGATGTAAAATGAGGTATAATTTAACATGGCTTTGGTTGAGAAATATTTTTTATTTTTCTCTATGTTTTGAGAGATAATAGATAAATTTATTGAAATGTAACCTTCAATTATCTTTACTTTTGTCTGATATTGAGAACCTATCTCAATATTCCACTATGTGAGAACAAACCATAATTTCCAGCATGAATTTTTTGCACTAAAATTAAATATTAGTTAAGCATATGATAGGATTTTTTAGAAATGATGATCCTTAAATTAGGGTTTGGCTTGAGGCTTTTATCTTTTGTTATAGAGTGTGTAAGGATTGCGTGTTATTCTATTTTAACCAATACAGAGTTAAAAACATGTTTTACACCCTTGTAAAGGTATTCAAACAAAATGATCCTTTATTTCCTAATTTATTTTATTCTATTTCCAGAAGGTTTTTTAGGAATACTTCAAAAAGCTGAGGTTGAAAGCAAATTACAAGAAGTTAAGATTGCAGGCTCAACACCACATATATCATATTTGTTATTTCCAGACGATAGTATGATCTTTGGTTGAGAATTTGTGGTAGATATTTCAACCTTTTTTATTATATTAAAAACTTATAAGAAGGCATCAGGGTAGGCAATCATTCATAAAAGTCTACCATATGTTTTTCTAAGGGAATAAGATGGTAATTGAGGATTGAGCTCTAAAATATACTTGGAGTTAACTTGATGGACAATCATAGTATCTATTTGAGCTTCCCAACTTTTGTTTCGCAATTAATATCTAGCATTTTTCAATTATTGGTGGATCATGTTGCAAAGAATATACACGGATAAAAGATAAAGAAATTATCACAAACAAACATGACAATTTTATTGAAAGTAGTGATGTAATCAATATCCACTTATTACATGAGTATTTTCTTACTTAAAATGTTTAAATGCTTACAATTGGAAATGATTATCTCTAGATTTTAGTATGAACAGAAAGGGGAGATAAAAGTATATTAGATGCCTTATCAAAGCTTTTATTCTAGAAAAATAAAAGGGGCATGGATTCTATGATTTTCACAATTTCAACCTAGTTATTCTTCAGAAGTTAACATACTGATTGCTTACTAACCTAGATATACTTTTATATTTGTTGCTACATGCAAGATATTTCATAGAGGAATTTTCAAATATCCCTTATAAGTTCAATATTTAGTTATACATGAAGAAACATTTTGGCAGAAAGGGACTTTATGGTTGAGGGTCTAAGATGGGGAGTGGAGAATGGTTAATCTAATTATTTTTAAGAAAAAAAGTGATTATAGAGCCATGAAAATTACAAGATACGAATCCCAATATTAGCTTCTTTGGCACCATCAAATGTCTCTTTTTTGTTTTTACCATAATTGACATGATATATACCTTTTATTAATAATCTATTTGTGCTTTGTGAAGATGAATATATCCTTAGTTTTTCTATAATTAGGAGATTACCATAGGACAAGTTAATTTAGGAGTCACTTAAATGATGGCAAGTACTTGGTAAAAACTTGCTACTAGATAGCTTGGAATGCAAGGTGTTGACAAATAGAGTGTATTTATTTAAGCTCTAATCCTTTATAGAAGAAACTTTAGCATGCCTTGGTTTTACGCTATGGTAAGCATATGATTTGGCGGGTATCTAAAGGTATTCTTTCTATTAGATTCAATTAGAGAGAATGAGTTTAGAAATTTTATGCTTCATGTATGAAGAAACTGATGAGACGATGGATCATTGACTTAGAAAATGTGAGTTACACATAAGGTTTGAGAGGTAAGTCCTATCAAAAGTAACTCTTCTTCTTTGGTCCTTTTTAATATGTGGCTACCTCAAGAGGTCTCAAACCCACTGGCTGATTATACTTTCGTTATGGGTACTTAATGGGATGAGAATATGTGGGTTCACTAACAAAAATGAGTAGATGCTAATATCTTGATTAAGAAGTTACATGCACTTTTTTAAATATAATATTAAGGTAGAAAATTTTAATCCTAAGAATTTGTCTAGGGTGAGACACCATCAGATGTGGTATCCATTATCTCTAGGCATTTATAAACTTAATTTTGATGCAACAATGGAGAAAAAGAAGTGGATAGGTATTAGTGTAATTAGTAGAAGATGAGACACAGAGGTGCTATTTACAAGAATAAATAGGATGCTACACCCTAAAAAAGTGGAGCTCACTAAGATTATGGCCATGGTATATCATCCCAACAAAAAACAAATACTGACACACTGTTAAGGATTAGAAAACTAATGAAAGAAAAAAGAAGTTTTAGAGGAAATCTCTACACTGAATTGAAATTGCCTTACATAATAAAATATAGTCAGAATAATTTGCATAAGTCTATCAAATTCTAATGGCGTGAAAAGACTAAATAAAACAAACATGAATCTCAACAAAATAGAAATTTATTGATTCATGTTGCTTCTTTTCTATCTTCTTATATTTAGTTTTAAGAATTTAACATTATATTTACATTACTAGATGCGAATGAAGAAAATATAATTAAACATTATTTATAAATAAAATATATAATATCAAATACCTTTAAAACTCAAAAACTTAAAACATAAAAAAGAAATGGAAATGGACATCATGTTTGGTTACTTGCTAAAATTTATTGTCTTATTCCTTTCGTTTTTGTTTTTCTGCTTCTAACATCTTCAAATGTAATTGAAGCTTTCCCTTTTAAGTGCCTAAAAAGATTACTTGCTAGTACAAGTATTATGAGCTCATTAACTTAAAAATTTTAAGAAAGAATTCTTAAAACTAAGGTTATAATCTAAAAATTATGTTTACAAAATTAAAGAAATTTACTTAAGGGACTTTTGAAAAGAATGGAAAAGAAAATTCTTGTGAAATATGATTTTTGGCTGAATCTTATC